AAACTGCAAATGTCCAGGTCTCTCACTTGAAAAACAGTTCCTTGAGCTCAGGAACGAGATGAGGTGTCTGCTCTCGCCACCTGTATTCAGCTTGGTGCCGAAGGTCTTGCCGGGGCGGTCGGGCAAGGAAAAGGAAAAAAAAAAACCCATCCGGATGGGAAAGGAAGAAGTAAAACTAACTTTATTTGCAGATGACATTACCTCACATTTATAAATTCCTAAGGAATCTACAAAACACTTAAAAGAGCTAATAAATGAATTTAGGGTTGCAGGATATAAGATCAATGTGCAAAAATAAGGTGTTTTTTTTTCAATATGTTAATAACCCAAAAATGAAATGAAGGAAACAATTTCATTTACGATAGCATCGAAAAGAATCAAATACTTAAGAATAAATTTTTAAGTGCAAGATGTACATAGAACTACAAACCATCATTGAAAGAAGACTTAACTAAGTAGGAAGAGCCAGTATTCATGGGTTGGAAGACAATATCGTCAAGATGGCCGTATCCCCCAAATTGATCTACAGATTCAACGTGGCCCCTATCAAAATCCCAGCTGGCTTTTTTTAAGAAATGGAAAACCCTATCCTAAAATTCATATGGAAATAACAGGGCCCCCAAATGGCCAAAACTATTCTCGAACAAAGTCGAAGGACACGCACTTCCTGATTTAGAAACTCAGCATGTTCGAGGCCGAGTGCTGCTGGCTCATGGTCCCCCAGGTCAGCGGGGGAGACTCGGCAGTCCAGAGATGGACCGGTGCGTGTACGGGCAATTGGTTTCAGACCAGAGTGTCATAATTCCCTGGGGGTGGGGAGAGTCGTCAGCAAACGATATTCGGATAACTGAATATCCACATGAAAAAAAATTGAGTTGGACACTTGCGCCATCTACAGAAAGGAACACGGATCAAAGACCCAAATATTAAAGAGCTAAGACAGTAGAACTAGAGGTCTTCACGACCTTGGATAAGGCGGTGGTTCTTTAGGTGATGCCAAACTCCCAGCAACCAAGAAAACTTTGAGAAAAGGGTAAATTGGACTTCGTCCAAATTAAGCATGTTTGTGCTTTAAAGGATGCTGTCAGGAAGGTGAAAAGACAGTCCACAGAATGAGAAAATGTTTGTGAATGATTGGATGAGAGTCTGTTACACAGCGTACATAAATCAACAGCAACAACAACACCACAACCCGGTTAAAAACCGGGCGACAGTTCGAGTAGGCATTTCTCCAGGGAAGATGCACAGATGGCCGATAAACACATAAAAGATGCTCAGTGTCATTACCCATCGGGAATGCAAACCAAAACCACAGTGAGATGCCACTCCTCCCCGACTGGGGGGGCTGCCATCAAACAGGCAGATGGGAACGCATGTCGGCGAGGGTGCCGAGACCCTGGCAGCCTTGTCGGTCAGTGGGGCTGCGGAGCGGGGCGGCTGCTGCGGAACACCGTTAGCTCACCAGAAAGCTGAACGTGTCGCCGTACATGTCACCAGCAGTTCCCTTCTGAGGTGTGCACCCAAGAGAATGAAAAGGGCCACACACACACACTTGTGCACGCGTGTCGTAGCAGCATGACTTATCACAGCGAACAGCTGGGAACACCCCAAACGCCCGTCGGCTGAGGAGCGGCTGAACAGGCTGCGGTGCATCCCTGCGGTGGAGTATTCGGCTGCCATCGAAAGGAGTGAAGTCAGATTTACGCTGTAGACGGCTGAGCTCTGAAGACGTTTTGCCAAGAAGCCAGACGCCAAAGTCCATGTTTTGTATGATTCCATTTATAATGAAATGTCTCGAGAAGGTAAATCTATGGGGATAGAAAGTAGATTGGTGGTGGTTAGAGGCTGGAGGCGCTGGGGGAGAATTGGGGTGACTGCTCATGGGTACAGAGTTTCTTTCTGGGGTGTTGAAAATATTCTGGAGTTAGAGGTGATGGTACGTAACACTTTCAAAGGGTCAATTATCTGGTAAGTGAACTGCGTCTCAGTTTTATTTAAAACGAGTCACTGCCAGTGGGTTCAGCGGTCCTCAGGTGTGGTTCCCGGCCAGCACCTTCGGCAGCGTCTCGGAGCGCGTCTGCCGGAGACACAGACTGTCAGGCGTCAGCCGTATGTGCCGGGCCGGCCACGTCCCGTCAGCGTCTCCAGGCCCCTCTGGTGCACACTGGTGCCTGAGACCACGGCCTCAAACTCATTCCCTTTCCATCCTCCTCGTTGCTAAGTGCACACATTGACAAAGCGGGGCAGCCCTGCTGGCAGTCGGCTTTGGAGCCCGTTGGCACCCCAGAACAAACCCCGCTGGACTCACTAGCAGCCCCTCGTCACCCCAGCCTTAGGCAAACACCGACGTCGGCCTCTGCGCACGTGTCTGCCCTGGAGTCATGCAATAGTGGTCCTTCGTGTCTGAGCATCATGTTCTCAAGATTCACCTGTAGCAGGCGTCAGTAATTCATGCCTTTTATTGATGAATGGGATTCCATTTTGTGGAGGTAACCATGTTTTTATCCATCCATCAATAGGCACTTGGACTGATTCACGTTGGGGCTGTTGGGGACGAAGCTCTGAGCATTCACAGGCACGTTTCTGTCTGTCCATCCTGTCGCGCCCCGTCCTTCCCATTCACTCCTCAGCCAGGTGCCTCCCCCCACTTCTGCCTTCGGCTTCAACGCCCAAGCCTGTTGGGGCTCACCTGTCCGGACCTCTCAGCTCCCGGTTTTCTCACGGGCATCTCCTCTGCCCACCCACCAACGCCGACATCCGTGGGCTCTAGCTTCTAGGGCTTGTAAGCTGGGTTTCTGGACAGATGAGCCGTCCGTGACTTCGGCTGCTGCTGCCTGCCGGGTGCCCCGAATGTGCCTCTGTGACTTCGGTCTCTCCCGAGTGCCCTCTTCACCTCTCTCTGCTCACCGGACCTCTCCACCGGGTGTCCACTGGGCCACCCGCGCTCAGCATGCCCGCGTCTGACTCCCATGGGTGCCCTTGTCGACAGCCCCCTGTAATTCACCCCAGAGGAGACTCCTGCCAGACGTCTTACTCTGGTGGCTGCAAACGCTGAGCCCGTCTCCAGCGCCCCCACCCCCACTCGACCAGCCGGGCCTCGGCGCCCTGACCGTGAGAGGAAGCCTTTCCGTCCCCGCTCACGCGTCCCCGCTCATGCGTCCGTCACTGGCACAGACGCGGGGGGCCTCTTTCCAGTCTGTGATGTGTGACCGTCCTTCGTGACTTCCAGCGCGCACACTGTCCCAGATTGGCCGGTGGCAGCCCCGTCCGTCCACTCTGTGCCCTGTGACGTGTCCCCTCTGGTTTCTTGAGCTCTGACCCCCTCTGCAGCATCACGACGTGTTCCAGGGTCATCTCGCACCCCCACCCGCACCCCAGCTGTGGGGTCGGCCATCTCCCCGGGGGCCCGGTTCCTTCCAGAGACCGGGATCGGGGCTCCGGGTGTGCTCCTTGCTCCTGGGGTGTCTGCTCCTTGGCCCTTTGGGCGGACAGAGCTGGGAAACACGTGCACATAAACACACGTCCGAACATACACATGCGAATATGTACACACAAATACACATGTACCAGTGTGTGTACACTGCGTAACAGCACACACCGGGAAACACGTGCACATAAACACACGCCCGTACGTACACATGTGAATATGCACACGCAAATAAATACACACGTACCAGTGTGTGTACACTGCGTAACAGCACACACCTCCTTGGATAGTAAGAGCAGAAAGGAGGTGATGCATGTAAAAACCCCAAAAAGCAATAAAAACAATGCTTAGCACACGTCCTGGGACATAGAACTCAATTTAGCCATCATCATCTTCAACATCGTCATTTTCATTATTATTAAAAACCATGGAACCCGTTGCCTGTCACATGGGAATTCCATCCTCCACGCGCCGTGCTTGGAGCCCCACGTGCGGTTGGGAGCCCAGAGCCACGGCGGGCGGACAGCTGCACCAAAGGGACGGACTTCTGTCGGGCGGGGGCGTGCCTGAGCCCAGCGGCTGCTGCTGCACGCTGCAGCCGGCCAGGCGACCCCAGAGACACCTGCTCAAAGCCTGGCCCTTGCGGACTTTGCTGGCGGTCACTGCGGCTCGGCCCCTGCTCACCCGCGTCTCAGCTCACCCTCCCTCCTTTCCAGGTTCCTCCCTGCCGGGCTCCCAGGGACGTCTGCCTCCCGCCTTGTGGCCCCTGCAGTCGCGCGGCCTTCTGCATGGACGTTCCCGCACCTCCCTCTTCCCTGGGCTACTTCTGCTAGTCCCTGAGATC